GCAAAAGGAATTAAGCCGGGCGCAAAAGGAATTGCGCCGGGCTTGTGTTGAGACAGAGAGTGCTTGACTTCTCTAGAAGAACTTGTGCCGGGCGCGAAGAATTGTGCGCCGGACGCGGAACCCTAATCTGATCTCCCAGGCTCGTATTTGAAGCCATTTTCGGGGGAGAAACCCCCATTCTCACATTGGGCGCCTCCAGGAGCTGCGGAAGGGATTCCCAGGGCTTGGGATCGTCCGTGTGCGGATCTTTCCTTCGGTTCTTCACTTCCTCTTCCATCTCTATTTTGTATTTGCCCTCTTTGTTGAGTGGTTTCACCCATTTTGTGGGGTTAGATGTAACCAACGTACTCTATTGTAATCTTTACGGTTTTAATGATATATATACATGTTGTTTTATTCTTTGTTGTGTTTGTTTCTATTCTTAATGCTTGCTTTGGATTGATCACCCTTTGCATGATTTAAGGTTCCATGGGTATTGGAAAATAACCTTTGAAACTAGTTCTGAAACATATGCCTAGTGGTGATTGTATCTAGGGATAGAGCTTGACCCATTAGTAGTCTTAAACCCTAGCCCGTAATGCGGGTGTAGATATTGGGTACTCAAGGGATTGATATTCAATATCCGCACCTAGGCTCTTTCTCTAAGGGATTAGGTTTGAGTAAACTATTGGGTTGACTAAGCAATGAATTTAACAAGAGATTAAGGATACATTAGTGTTACGTTCGGTGAAATCTGACCCCCACAGCCTCACAATACCATTATCCCATTTCTACTCTTTCCTATTCTAAAACTAATCTTTTTATAGTTTTAACATTCCAATAGTCATGCTCTTCATCTCACATTTACATGACAAACTATAAATTAGAATTATTCTTTAGTCACGAATAGTCAATAAATGCTTATTTTACCTTCTAATCCCTGTGGATACGATATTTTTACTACTTGAACGGCCGGTATACTTGCCGTGTTTGAGACCGTTGATGGAATTAAACTGATTTACAATTATAACAAAAGTACTTCAACGGAAATCTCAACAAGTTTTCCACCTACCTAATGCCTTAAGGTTTTAGGTTATGTTGTGGTATCAAGCTCACTTGTGTGACTTACTCACTACCCACTGTGTGGAATGCTCCCCAGTGTTGTCGATGGTTCGACCAAGTGACTGGTGATCGGCTCAGACGAGTATGGGTTGAATCCAAGAGTAGGATCATCCCTTGTACTGAAAGTCTTCCTAGAAGTGTGGAGGACGTGAGTCGTTGAAGTGCAACGATAGTGCAAGTAAGGTCACCATTGAATACTCATGGACGAAAGAAAAATCTTCCTCTTGAGGGGGAGTGTAACCATGTGGAAGGGATTCACACTTGAGGGGGAGTGTTGGAGTTCAAGTGTGAAGTAAAGTCTCACATTGATTAGAGTTGGGCATGTTGAGTAATATATAAGTGAGAAAGACCCACCTACCTAATGCCTTAAGGTTTTAAATTATGTTATGGTATCAAACTCACTTGTGTGACTTATTCACTACCCACTATATAGAATGCTCCCCAGTGTTCTAAACTCCCCAACAACTTGTACATTCATTCCTTCATTATACGTAGCTCACTCATTGTTTATCCAAACATATAACAGGGTCGGGGACTTGAATGTCAAATGAAATAAAAGCTGTCTTTTTTGTGTCATACAAAACATTCATTCATTGATCATGGGAAAACAAGCAAATACAGATTGTAACATAAAAAAGTGAAATGTGAGCATGCAACACGGGAGTCCTTACATCATGTGGAAAGGGCTCATGTCTTTGATATATGAATTATTGGATTGGCATGGCTTAGAAGAAATCAGTTTTGCTGAGTATAATTAAGCACGTGAATGTGAATCCATGCATTAATCACATTGATGAGGACAGTCGATATAATATGGCAATAATGCATTCTATGCTTAACAGTGAGGTGGGGTCTGTTAATTCAAAGTGTCTCCTGAATACGGAGGTAGAGGATATATATTGTAGAGAAAATGATAAATGAGAGCTGCACATATACATTGTTACATACGTTCAACTTGCTTATATTGTAGAAAGTTTATATCACTCATATACGTGGTTAAATCCAAACACGTGAATAAACCTTACATATTACTGGTGTACATAGTCAACTGGTATAAAGTTGTTTTTGCCTTAACAAGTAATTTTAAATTCAAGTTTTGTGCATACTATTTATAACTAAAATTATATGCAATTGTGTTAAACATTTAAAAGAAGAGTTTTATCATTTATAATGATTTAATTTAACTTAAACATAATTGTTTCAAGTAGAAGATACTTATAGTCTATAAAAAAAAAATTCTACATATTGATGTTGATATACATGGATAAGGCCAAATTTGAATTAAACAATACTACATTTGTTTCTATATATAAGAAACAAATCCCAAATTTATCAAGATAAAAGTAGTTAATTAAGTTAGTCAGTGATAATTAATGATGTTATAATTTAAAATTTTATTCAAAAAAATACTCATAGGACTAAATAACATAAGCGGTAGTTATATTTAATAGTATTACTCAAAAGTCAAGAAATAATACTTTTAACCCTTAAACATGGGTTATAGTGAAAGTTTTTCAATAAATGCATTTACTTTCATGAAAAAATGAGTAAAATACTAATTGACAGATTCATAATAAATTAAAGGTATAAAAGAAAATTGTTAATTAATACATTTACAAGTAGACCCATATTTCTTATAATTAAGAACAAAATAAAACTATCATTTTGTTTCTTATAAAATATTGTATTAAATAGGATAAGTTTTAAGTAATTTTTTTAATATTTTTAATTAGTAGGACTCTTTAATTAGAAAGTGAGTTTTATTTGATAATTTGTGCTAATTATTAATGTAGACTTCTATAATTGTGTAGAATATCGATATATTAAACTATAATTCTAAAGATTTGCTTTCTCTAAAACCCACTTTAAATGGTAAAATAACAAATTTCAATTGTCGTCAGTTAATCCATTTAAGTGTAGACTCATGTTTTTTTCTTTATATATATATATATATATATATATATATATATATATATATAATTAGAAATAAAATAAGACTATCATTTGTTTTTTATAGACAAGAACAAATGTGGTAAATAGGTTAGATACATTTTTTTAATTTTTTTAAGTATGATTCTTTAATTAGAAAGGGAGTTTGATAACTTGTGTTAATTATTAATAATAATGTAGACTTTTATCATGTATGTAGAATATCCTTATATAAAACTATAAAGATTTGGTTTCTCTAAAACCCACTTTAAAAGGTAAAATAACAAATTTCAATCGTTAATGAGAAAATTAATAATCAATATTATATATGCATACACATAACAAATTATGAATTTAATGAAATATATCACTGGCGTCAAAGATTAAAATTTATTACTTTATTATCTACGATGAGTTACCAACTTTAGAGAAGTTAAACCTAATTCTAATTGAAATCTGAATGAATAGAAAATTAATCTTATTAATTGAGGAACCAACCAAGGGTTACATATATACTTGAAATTTAAAAACGGAAAGGAAGCATCAAAGCTGGAAATAAGGAAACAGAATAAACAGCAGCTAAAGATAAGTAAGTAGCTGGCACCGTAACAAATGCTAATTAGTTGGAAACTAATTTGACTAATTTGACCATGTGTATTAGCCCCCCTCAAACTGGAGAATGTATATCAATCATTCCCAGTTTGGAAAAAATAGATCTAAATGGTGCAAGCGTTAGAGGCTTTGTGTAAATGTCAGCCAATTGTTGTGCTGAAGGGACAGGCAGAAGATGAATAAGGCCTTGGTTGAGCTTCTCTCGAACAATGTGACAATCCAACTCAATATGTTTTGTACGCTCATGGAAGTTGGGATTACGAGCAATATGGATTGCTGAGCGATTATCGCAGAAGAGTGATATAGGAGAAGGCTCAACAACTTGTAAATCCTACAGTAGATAAAAGATCCATTGTACTTCACACACTGTTGCAACAAGTGCACGATACTCAGCTTCACATGAAGACCTTGCTATAGTAGTTTGCTTCTTCGATCGCCATGAGATTAAAGAGGAACCAATGTATAAACAATACCCAGTAATTGATTTTCTAGAATCAAGGCAACCAGCCCAGTCAGAGTCACTGTATGCTGTGAGCTTGTGAGTGTTTGATGATGGATAAAAAAGGCCGCACCCTGGTGAGCCTTTGATATAACGAAGGACTCTATGAGCAGCTGCTTGATGTCGGTCTGTTGGAGCAGATAAGAATTGACTAAGTTGATTCACCACAAAATTTATGTCTGGTCTTGTAGTTGTAAGATAAAGAAGTCTTCCTATAAATCTTCTATAAGAGCTGATATCAGAGAGTGGTTCGCCAATAGTAGCTCCCAACTGGCCTGGGCTATCCATAGGTGTTGTCGCTGCGAGCTATCCATAGGTGTTGTCGCTGGCTTACAACAGAGAAGACCAGAGTCTGATAGAAGTTCCAAGGCATATTTGCGTTGGTTAACCACTATGCCTTTGGAGGACCGCGCAATCTCTAAACCCAAAAAGAATTTGGCTTCTCCAAGATCCTTAATGCGAAACTGTGCATGAAGAGACTGCTTGACCTTATTGATCTCAGAAATGTCATTTCCTGCTAACAACACATCATCAACATATAATAGTAAAGCGGTGAAGGATTTCTCAGTCTTCTTGGTATATAAGGTGTGATCAGCTTGACTTTGAGAATAACCAAGAACCTGTAGAGCACGTGAGATAGTATTGAACCACTGTCGACTAGCTTGCTTCAATCCATAGAGAGATTTCTTTAATAAACAGACCTGGTTAGGCTTGGAAGTCGAGACACCTTGCGGTAAAGCCATATAGATTTCTTCTTCTAGGTTTGCATGTAAGAAAGCATTATCTACATCTAATTGGTGTAGGAACCAATTTTTGGAGGAGGCCAAAGCTAACACAACTCTTAGAGTGGTCATCTTTGCTACGGGGAAAAGGTATCCATGAAGTCAATACCTTCTATTTGAGTGTAACCCTTCACAACCAACCTTGCCTTGTGTCGTTCTACTGTCCCATCCTGTTTGTGCTTGACTTTGTAGACCCATTTGCAACCAATGAGATTTTTGTCAGGTGGTTTATCAACCAGGACCGAAGTATTATTTCTTGCCAATGCCTCTAGTTCTTGATCCATGGCTATCCTCCAACATTCATGTTTGACGGCCTTGGAATATCTGGTGGGCTCAGGTGTGGTGGTAATGTTCAAAATAAAAGACTGATATGAAGGTGTCAAACAATCATAGGAAAGCACTTGAGAAAGAGGATAGAGATTACCTTTGCTTGAAGATTGATGTGGCACAGCAGTGGCAGCAACAAGGTTGTAGTGATAATCCTGTAAATATGAAGGGGGCTTTATAATTCTCTTAGTTGAACATTGTGGTGTTGGTATAGGATTATGTGGCGTGGTTACTGTTTCTGCTATTTCACTATCAAGAAGAGGATTTTGTGGTATTTCAGGTTCTGACTCAGTTTGTGGTTGAGTGTAATCAAAAGGTTCTGTAGGAATAAAGGTTGGCAAGGGAATACTAGAATTGGAAGTAGTGTTGGTAGGAGATTTCAATTGATATGGAAAAATATTTTCATGAAAAACGACATTTCGAGATACTGATAGCTCTCTGGTCTTGATATCATAGACAATATAACCTTTTGTGCCACTTTTATATCCCAGAAAAATACACCTTGTGGCTCTAGGATCAAATTTGGTCCTATATGACTAACAAGTGTGGAGGAGAAACAAAGTGAACCAAAGACCTTGAGTTGGGTCAGGTCAAGAAGACATTTATATAGTAGCTGATAGGGGCACTTGTCATCCAAGACTGGTGTAGGGATTCTGTTGATGAGATAAACTGAGTGTGTAACTGCATAAGACCAAAATATTTTGGGAAGGTTAGCTTGAAATAATAAGGCTTTAGCAACAATAAGAATATGCTGGTGTTTTCTTTCTACTATGGAGTTTTGTTGAGGAGTTTCTACACAACTTGTTTGGTGAACTATTCCTTTTGTAGCATAAAATTGGTCAAATTTGAACTCCTTACCATTATCAGTTCTAATGGTTTTGACTGTGGTATTTGAAACTGGTTTTCCACCAATGCACAAAAGGCTTGAATTAAAGGTCTCACTTCTGCCTTATTCTTTAGCAAATAAATCCAAGTGTGTCTAGAGTAGTCATCCACTATGGTAAGGAAATAAGAATGACCATGTATGGACATCACAGAAACTGGACCCTAAATATCAACATGAATCAGTTCAAATATTGTAGTGGTAAAGGAAGAACTTAAAGGAAAACTCAGCTTTCTTTGTTTTGCAATATGACATATATCACAAACGTGATTTTTATTACAATGAATGAAAGGAAACATTTCACTAACTGCTTGACTTCTATCAAAACAGGGATGACCCAACCTATAGTGCCATAAATTGGACAAACTAGAAGGAAAATTACAAGAAATTTTTTTTGAAATGGTGTTGTAAACAGAGGATTGAGAAGACTGTACTGTTTGTGTGAAAATGTATAGGCCTCTTTCTGCTTTAGCTGTGCCAATCATCTTGCAAGCATTGGAATCCTGTATTAAACAAATGTCATCAAGGAAAGTCAGTTTACAATAAAGGGTTTGAGTTAATTTTGTAACTGATATCAGATTGAATTTGAAGCTTGGCAGAAATAAAACATCAGTCAAAACAAAACTGGATGAAAGATGAATTGTGCCAGAAATGGTGGCTGACACTAAGATTCCATTGGGCAGGGATACTTTGATAGGTGGTATGTTCTTGTATGCAGTAAAGTAACTGAGGGAATTTGAGATGTGGTCCGTGGCACCAGTGTCCAGGATCCATCTAGAGATTAGTGCATTACCATTGCTTGTTGGATTTGAATTAGTAAAAGCTTTCACATGAGCAGTATGCTGTGTGGAGTCCCTCTGATCTTGCTGTGGCAGCAGAGCTAATAAATTCTGATATTGGTTTGTAGTAAAACCAAACCGCACACTTTCTTGTGTGTCTTTTCCTGATGAATCTTCTGGACAGTTGGTCTCATTTTCTTCGGTCATCAACATATTTGCAGATCTTGGAACAATGTTTTTGGAATTTTTGAACTTAAAACTAGAAGGGAAACCGTGTTTCCTGTAACAAACGTCAATTGTGTGACCCATTTTTTCGCACCATGAACATTTCTTGGAAGTGTATCTGTTATTCCAACCATTACCATTCCCTTGATTTCTCTTCGAGTGTGACGCATCATCACTGGCCACAATAAGAGCCTTTGGCATAGAAGCATTCTCAGTGGCAAATTGTCGTTCTTGTTGAGCAACCAGTGCAAAAACTCGGTTCACATTGGGACAATTATCTAAGAGCATCAATTGTGACCTAACACCTGAATATTGGTCATTCAGCCCTCGGAAGAATCTAACCACTTGATTTTTATTTCGCTCCTCTTCAATTTTCTTGATTGCACCACATGAACATTTAGGGTTGCATGTACAAACAGGAAGGGGATTCAGAACATCTAATTCATCCCAAAGAATTTTTAGTGCAGTGTAAAATTTTGAGACAGAGTTATCACCTTGCCTCTGGCTGAAGATTTTCTCTTGAATTTCTAAGATTCTGAACAGATCAGCATGGGAAAAGCGTTCGTGGAGTTCCTTCCACACATCTGAAGCCTTCTCACGCCAAAGAATGGATTGCGCAATTTCCACGCTCATCGACTTTATTAGCCAGCTAAGAACAAGCATGTTGCCTCGTTCCCAGAAAGGAAAAACTGCATTTTCCTTGGCTGGTTCTACAATCGTGCCGTCAACGAATCCCAACTTGTTCTTTGTCAACAAGCTCATCTTCATCGCACGAGACCAACTGTGATAATTCTCGTCTATGAGCGATGGTGAAACAAGGACGGTGGAGGGACTCTCGTTTGGATGTATATATAGCGGATTCGATGCATTTTGTGCATCTTGCACAGAATAGGGGTATGTGGCTGTATCAGCCATTGATGCGCGCAGCAGAGCTCTCTCTAAGAGAGCTCTGATACCATAATAAATTGACAATTGAAATTTGAATAAATAGAAAATTAATCTTATTAATTGAGGAACCAACCAAGGGTTACATATATACTTGAAACTTAAAAACGGAAAGGAAGCAATAAAGCTGGAAATAAGGAAACATAATAAACAGCAGCTCAAAATAAGTAAGTAGCTGGCACCGTAACAAATGCTAATTAGTTAGAAACTAATTTGACTAATTTGACCATGTGTATTATGAAGAGCCATATAACCTTTCTTCTTGGCCTCTATTCTCCTACTGCGACAATAAATATCTACTAGATTTTTTTTTTAACTTATAGCATGATCTATCTGTTCAAAGAAAACTAGACAAAAAAGTAAAAGGGAAACTTTCAACATAATGGATAGAATAGACGTCTTTGTTATAAAAAAGAGTAACTCAAAAGCTTATACTTGCACAAGATGGTTTGGGGGCAATGAGTGTGCAACAAGCACAAGCATCCACAACTTATTTGAGGTATTTAGTATAAGCAGCAAAACCCTAGTATTATATACTACTAATTAAACTCTTCTAGGAGTCTTTGTTAAATTCTATCCAATTACGGGTGATTAAATGTTTGTTTATGTATATAATATTACTCAAGAATCAATTCTACCCTACAAAATCATGACGATACCATGCATGAAAAGATAGAAATAATTATTTATTATTTTATCTTCAGTCTTCACAAAAAAAAAAAATATTGATTCTCGTCATAAACTAATTCAAACACGTACGCTATATGATACAAAGACTCTTATATCACAAACCAATAATTTAAGTTTAAATTATTAGGAAAGTACGTATCAATGATTTTGTGTTATATCTGTTTAGATAATGTTAGAATTGTGTACGATTAAAGAACTAAAAGTTGATACACAAATTTTACAAAATGAATAGTTTAATTAATATTGTCCATATCATGGATCGATGTGAATTATTATTTTCCTATCTTGTACTAATAATTTAAAGTATTGTTCTGAGTTCAGTTTTGGGTATCAATTACATTATTCGGATAAAAAGTTTTAGCATTTATACACAGTAGTTTACAATTGTATATACAAATATTCCAAAATAAAATAAAAATAATTTTCTCAAATCAAACATGTCCTAAATTCTCTATTTCATACCCAAAATTTGAAGGAGAAAAAATAATCATAATTCTTGATATTTATGTGTGTGGAAAGAAATAAGTCTCTACTTAAATTTATTATATTTAATAACTAATATTCTACATCAAATTTCAACAATTCAACGCACTACAAAAAAATTGTTGTATAGTGACACATATCCTATAGTGATACAATAAATGCCACTAAAAATTATTTTTACCTATACAATAAATATAATATATGTTGGTATATTATTAAAAAGTATGGGTATAAGCTATAGTGACATACAAAATATATTGTTAAATCTCATTCAAAATCAATACTAAAATTGTGTGTAGATATATGCTAAATAGATACATATCTATATATATATTTATAGTGACACTTTTTGTATGTCACTATATGTAATATTTATTATAGTGATGGTTAAATTAAAAAGTTTTAATATATAGATTAAATTTATAAATTTTAAAAAAATTAAATTTATTTGATTTTCATTAATATCCCATCTGATCTTAAGTTCTTAACCTATTAAAGCTATAATTTTCTTTGCTTGATTGAGTTGATTCCATCTGTTTCCATCAATCTAAACTATATATGTCATACAATAGGGGAGCATATCTATGGTCACGGTAATAATAATTATTCACTCAATTATATAATAACTGCAATTTAAGATTTTTATACAGATTAATGATAAAAGTAAATATACATTTTTATATAATTTTGTGAAAATAATATTCTTTTTTAATAATTGTATTACTTTGAATTATGGTGACTGATTAATTTCTAAAAAAAAATAGAAATAAAAATAATTAATATTCTAAAAAAAATTATATGACATTAAAAAAAAATAACATATTTTATTTTATCATATTTTTAAATGTTAAAACCAAAATCGCATCAAGATTGAAGGAGTACTTATAATTTGCACCATCTCTATATAACATGCATGCCTCCATGTTCTATAATAAGAAGTCCTTATAATGTAATGCTTTCGCTTTCCCTTGCCGTCCATAAAAGGGAGTGGCAGATAAGATTATGATACAGACGTGGCTAATAAGATATTTTTGTCCAAGTAGAAACTAATAATAGCAAATTCATATGTATATAATTATATATAGAGAGGGGTAGGGATTAATGACTTTAAAATTAACTCACGTTTAAGTTATTTTATTTAATAATTTATTGTGTATGTTAAATTTTAATTATTTAATTTTAAATTAAAAGTTTTTAATATATATATATTAAGTTTACAAATTTAAAAAAAAAACTAAAAATCATATAATATTTTATTATATAGATTTAAATTAATATAAAATATTTTTATGATTATCTATCGATTTGAAATAGCAAAACGAAGAATCAAATATTTTAAAATTGTAAACTTGAACTATGCCTTAAAATTTTTTAATTTAATGATTTGATCGTGAAATTTAACATACACAATAAGTTATATTGAGTAGAGTAACTTAAACAAAAATTTCTGTTAAAGTCATTAGATACTTGCTTATATATATATATATATATATAATGAGGAGAAAAATAAGTCTACTTAAACTAATTTCATTCAATAACTCATGTTTTATATCAATACTTAACAAGTTTAACTGTCAAATTTAAACTTTTTTTTTTTACATAAATCAAGTATGAAAATTAAAAAAAAAATTAAAAATCATTTGATACTTCGTTTCATTAATTCAAATTGATAGATAATTATAAAAGTATTTTATACATTGATTTGAATTGATGAAACGAAATATCAAATAGTTTTTAAATCTTTTAAAAATTTGCAGACTTGATGTAAGTATTAAGAAATTTTAAATTAACTATTAAATTGTTAAGATTTAAATATGTTTTTAGTCCCTCAAATTTAAGGTAATTTTATTTTTGGTCCCTCAAATTTAAAATTGTTGTTTTTAGTCCCTATAATTTCAAAAAATCTTATTTTAGTCCTTATATTCAAATTTGGTTAAGAAATTTATCAAACATTATTGCATAAATTAAATTGTTCAATAACTCATAAGAACTTCACAGTTAAGCGTGCTTGACCTGGAGTAATGTAGGGATGGGTGACCTTCTAGAAAGTTTCCAAAAATTGTGTAATTAAGGACAAAACATGCTAAAAACTTAAGTATTGTGAAATAAAATCCTTAAGAGGTCAAATATGAGTGGTTTATAGCGACCAAATTTGCGACGTCTATAAAATTTAATAAAATAAAAAATAAATATTTAGCGACCGATTTATTCGGTCACTAATTTATTTCAACCATTTAACGACCGAATTAGCGACCAAAATTTTCAGCGACCGAAAATTTTTCAGTCGCTAAATAGCTTAGCGACCAAGGTTTTAACGACTGATTAAATTCGGTCGCTAATTCGGTCACTAAGGTAAATAACAACCGATTTTTGCAATTTAGCGACCGATTTTGATGGTCGCTAAATTACATATTTTTTTGTAGTGATAGTAGAAACTAATGCTTCAAAATTAGGTTTTGGAGGCATTCTAAAACAACAATTAGGAAATAACCCATAATAGGTAGTAAAATAATATATATATATATATATATATATA